CCACCTCACGCCCTACACGCAGCCTGAGACGTGCACTATACATTATAGTCTCTTCAACAGTAAGAAGTGGGAATAGAGCTTCATCTTGTGTCACATAACCAGACATTCTCCGGAAGTGTGTCACATTCAGAGGCTGATCATTCACGAGAACATGACCGCTGACTCTACTCGGAACAATGACTCCGCCAAGAATTTCCAACAATGTGGTTTTTCCTGCTCCACTGGAGCCAGCAATGGCTGTTATCTCCCTCGGTTTGGCTTCGCAGTTCACATTCTTCAAAATACACCTAGGCTTCTGGTTAACGCCACAACCGAGCTGATCGTAGCTGGTTGTTGATATTTTATATGAAAGATTTTTAGTTTTTATACTATAAAGAACTTGTTGATGACCAGAAATTGGTGTCACAGTTGGTAAATCCATGTGGAGAGAAAGAATAGGATGAAGTGTGGAGGAGGACGAACTAACTCCACCAAACTTGCCCCTCTTTATACACCTCAGAGTCCAAGCAGCTGATCATCATCATGATGTTATAAAAGCATGCATGCTAGGCTGATGCTGTTAAAGCATATCTCTGTAGACTAAAGTGATTTTTTTTTCTAGTAAAAAAAAAAAATAAAGTGTAAATTACAATGAATCAGTCAAAGGTTGGTTACAGCTATTTAATCTCAACTTGGATTTGCTCATTATACTCAAGAAGTGGTTTTTTGCGTTTAGGGGGTCATTTTCTTGGTTCCACTATAGAATAAATGCAATTGAGTGTATAATCAATTGAAACGGCCACAATAGAAAGTTAATTATAAGAAGGAATAAATGCAGAATGAATTGAGCTGGTCTTGGTTATCTCACCAATCGCTACACACAAATTATGAGTCTCTGACAAAGTATATAGGAGTTGTTTCCGTTAAATTGATGATATAGAACAGCCGTTACATAGGCAATATAACCGATGCCACAGGATAAGGGGTGGACAATTGGACAATTCATGGATGAACAGGTACAAATTCTAGCGTACAGAAACAACAATTTTGAGTACAATTAATTGATCCACCCATTATTACAAAACCTTTTATTTTTTGATATAGACACAAGATCGTTACTTTTGCACACATTATTAGTGTACGTTACTCTTACTTTAAATGCAAGAAACTTGCATGTCCTGTACGTATGAAGCTTTTCTCTCAACGATTAACTTAGCACACTTGGATTTGATAGGGAAGAGAGAGGTTTTCCAATTCAGTGTTTACATAATTTTCCATTTCTGTTGGATATTGCATCTCCTTTATTTGTTTCCTTCATCATAATGGAGTTTTACTAATTAAGCAAGGTAATTGGCTATATGATATATAGAAGGAGAAGGCCAGACCAAGAGTACAAGTACGGTTTTTACCTTCATTCTTTGTTTTTTTTACCTTCTATGGATTGTTGTCCTCCTTAACAATCCAATATCAGAATATAATGCGTGTGTATCAACACTAGCAAAGCATAGAAAAAGAATGAAATATATGGTAAATCACGCAATTAGTTGCTTAACTCTAGAAATTCAGAGTTTAGCATGATGACAGAAATAAACATGCGTGTAAACAACCCTAAATGCTCCTTGATTGTCATACATTGAATACGTTATTAACCACCACAAGTCATAGGTTACTTCACCAATGAAAATTCAGTTTCAATCACATGTCTAAAATTTCAACGGTTACAGCAATGAATCATATCTGTTGCAAAGCAATGGAAACTTATTTAGTTTTCATAACTGTAAGTAAATTTCAATGCCAAGATTGTTAACATATCATTTTCAAACATCCTGCTTCAATAGAAAATTTACTGTACTAAAAAAAGTTCTCCAACCATGCACAATTTACGTCTAGATTATACTTATGACTGATGACAAAGGGGAGAAGCCAATATTTGATTAATTTAAGAGAAGAAATTTCTGAACCATTTCTAAAATATTCATTCTTACAAATTGAGGTCGAGTCCAGAAATGAACTTGTATGAGCCAAATTGACAAGTTGAGAGCATCTTTGCTGAAGAAGAAGTCCCGCCGAAAATGTTGTATCAATTTAACTATTTTTGGTTGCGTTGTTTAACTTAATTAATTGCACGAGTTAGTGAAATTCGTCATTAGAACTTTTTCATGTCTAATCCATAAAAGTTTGGGTTTTTATTTGTATTTTTTTTTCAAAGAAACCAGAAGCCTCTTGTGCCGAGAAAGGAAAAGAGCATGTTTTGAGAGTCAATTAGGAGTCTCACAATTACCAGCCTAATACACTTAGACTTGTGATAATGCCACTGCACAATATTCATGAAATAACACTTTTATCCTTTTAAAAATGATGATCAGTTTTTGAGTGGCAAAAGCTATAGTTGTCATTGCACACGAGGTTTGCTGTAGAACTAAAATGTGTGCTTTGACGATATCATTTGCCGAAAATATCCCTTAATATAGGTTAGATTAGTGATTGACCCCGAATTCTTGAGTTATTTGATAAAGTCATTATGTTATCTGGTGATATCGTTCTTCATGATGGTCCCCTGGATTGCCTGGAAGAGAGGCTCAAGTCCACTGGCCATTGCATTCCTCAGCATGTCAATATTCTTGAATATGCAATTGATGTTTCAGAAAGCCCGTCCATGAAAAATCTGATGTTGAAAAAGGTGAAGTAAAACAGGATATTACTGATCATGTTATCAGAACTTCCATTTTGTCCAATATTCAAGAAACGCACCTCTCTTCATATGCCATAGCAGACACCCTAGTGTTTGTTGCCTTCCTTTTGCAACTATCTCCTCTCTTCACCACTCCACTTCACTGGCTAGTTGGACTGAGATGCAAAATCGATGGATTCCTTTATTTCTGTCTGGTGGCTTGGATGGTTCTCTCAATGGCAAATTCTTTTGCAGCTGCTTCAGTGCTCTGGTACCGAATTTCATATCAGGAATGTCTTTGATTGCAGGCATCATGGGTGCATTCTTCTTTTTTCTCGGGGTACTTCATATCTAACAAAGAAATACCCAAGTATTGGCTCTTCATGCACTATTTGAGCTTGATGAAGTATCCTCTTGAATGTCTTCTACTAAATGAGTTCGGAGGATACAAAGGCCGAGGGAAATGTGTAGAAGGTGTTGAAGTAGGATGTTTGATGTATGGTGATGCATTCTTGAGAAATCTAGGCATAGAAGAGTCACAAAAATGGAGTAACGTTGTTGTAATGTTGGATTTCATCGTGGGCTACAGACTTCTCTGTTATCTGACTCTTTGGTATAGAAGCAACTAATGATAAATTTCCAGGGCGACCCTTTGTATATGAAAAACATGAGGAGCAGAGTGTGTTGTTATGGCTTTAAATTAGAGAAAATACGTAAGAAACCTAAGAGAAGGATATTTCTCCAGAGCTTATCCTCATTTCTTGAGTTCATGTTGCAGGTTCGTGGATGGAAATTTGTTATGATCTTCCTCTTCTAGTTGATAATTGATTGTTGACAAATAAAATGAACAATTTCCGCAGTCGGTTAAATGTCAACTTACAGCGCATGACTAGTTGGTTATGAATCTTCTTGCAGAGCCTATTAGGTCTTTTGAAATCGATCTATGCCCTGGTTACCTTGGAATTTGGAACCAGACTCCGATATGGCTACCTGTCAGCAGACAATGCTGCAGCAGTGAGAAAAGAAGTTGCAAAGCTTTGCGAGGAACTGAGACCGCATGCACTTTCGTTGGTCAGCTCCTTTGGCATTCCTGATGCGTTCCTGAGCCCTATAGCTTTCAATTGGTTAGAGACAAACTCTTGGTCCTCTGTTCAACACTAGCTTCTTGTAGGTGATAATATTTGCTTCTTGTACTGAGGAAAAATCGAAACATCTCCGGCTCATAGCGTCTGCCAATAAGTTCGCAGTCATCATATAAACTTCTCTTGGATTCAATGAATGAAAGACCTTGTAGTGTATGTATTATATTCGCAATATTCGGTTGACTGTGTTGTTTAACATTTGTTAATTGCCATTTTTAGTCAAAGGGTCTTTAGGTATTGAAATTGTCAAATGATACAACCAAATGCTGTTGTGATGCGTCCACGGGAATTTACATTCTTGTTTCTTTTCTCGACTCTCTCATCAAGCTGAATTATTTTCATCAGTTCAGTAGATGGGAATAATTGGATTTCAATACAGTATTCATGGATGATTAACAGGTAACAGGTGCTCAGTATTCATGGGTGGTGCCGTGAGTCAGTAGTTGCTTTATGAAGATGTATTGGTGGAGACCACAATTTGGACGTATGGTTAGGCATTTGCATTATCTTGTCTGATAACTGGAGCCTACTTAATAATAGATATTGACCATTATGAGTATCTAGAGGTTGAAATTTCAATGTTCGGCAAAATTTTCCATTCCTTTTCTTTAAGTTTTCACACCCTTTCTCGGGGAATCTTTTACTCATCCCTTCTTTTAAGTTCCACATTGCATCCAAGGCTTTCACTAATTATTGTTATCATAAGTATTTTTGCTTTAACATGTGAAGACCCTACCAAAAGCCAAGTAAAAAAACAAAAACCAAAAAAAGTACTGCTCGAAGATAATAATTCTTTCAGTGGAGCCTAGGGATCAATGGAAGATATATGCTAATATATTGCTTTGTTCAAGAAAGAAACACAGCTTTTTTTTCCTTTTTATGTTTTTAACACTTTTCTCCAGCTTTGGCAATGAATTATGAGAACATTAGGGCGATGAACAGATAAGTATTGTCACATGTACAAAAGATGATTGAAAATGGATTACTCGATTGAAAGTGTGTAGAACTTGTACCCAGATGCATGAATGTTACCATGAAGAAAGAAAAAACCATAATTAGTCGTTGGTGATCCTACCAAAGCCCAGCTCGTGTATTGTTTCAGCTTTCAACTAACATCTATGCATTCAATTATTTCAATGGTACCCACAAGCCGTGTGGCCCTGGATTGGTCGTTGGATATCATCTCTAGTCTTTGCTTGGAGCACTACTTTTTTAGTTTTCCAACTTGGTAGGAAATTTCGTTTTGGAAAAAAACGAAAGATAAGTAATGGGTTCCCTACTTTGTAGCGCTAGCTGTTGAATGTTGAACATCTCTAGCTGCCAAAAATAGTCCAACTATTCAACCAAAGCATTTTACCTTCTTCTGTAAAAGAGTTTCGCTGAAAATGGCTGAAGCTGCGCTCAGTTGTGTTGGTGTAATCTTGAATAAGATACTTCCACTTGCTGCCGACGAGATCAGCCGGGTATGGGGTGTAAAGAAAGACCTTCAGAAGCTTGCGAAGAAAGTAGAGATGATGGAAGCTTTGATTTTTGATGCTAAGTGCAAGCAATCAACAAGCAAAGCCGTGCAGCTCTGGCTCAAAAGGCTCCAGTCCATAGCACGTGATGCTGAGATCGTGTTGGATGACTTCGGATATGAAGTTCTGCGGCAGAAGGTTGAGAATCGGAAGCGCGACAAGGTACGCAATTTCTTTTCTTCCTCAAATCCTATTTTCTTTCGTACAGAGATGGCTAACAAGATCAAGAATGTTAGCGCATCTCTAGAGGAAGCTTACACAGAAGCAAATCAGATAGGGCTTTATCCAGCTCAACTACCCATGCCATCTGCTGATCAAAAAGAGGATCGGTCGACTGATCCTTTTGTGGACGAGTCAGAAACGGTGGGAAGGGAGGTTGAGGTATCTCAAGTTGTAAGCATGTTAATTAGCTCAGACTATAAGAAGGATTTACCTGTCATCTCAATAGTTGGGATGGGTGGCCAGGGTAAAACAACCCTTGCACAGATGGTGCTAAAAAATGACAGTGTAATGAAGCACTTTGATAAAAAAATATGGGTATGCGTGTCTGATGATTTCAAAGTGAAAAGGCTGTTGAATGAGATGCTGCAATCCCTTGAGAGAAAAAGTGCTGACACAACAAACACGGAAGCATTGGTGAGGAAGCTTGAAGAAAATCTGAAAGGAAAAAGTTACTTGCTTGTACTTGATGATATTTGGAATGAGAATCGAGAGAAATGGGATGGCATGAGGAGACGTTTGTTGGCAATTGGGGGTGCTCCGGGAAGCAAAATATTGGCTACCACACGTAGTGATGAGGTAGCCTCAGCAATGCAAACATCTGGTTTGCATCCTCTAGGCATCCTCTCAGATGATCATAGCTGGATGTTGCTTGAAAAACTAGCATTTGCAAACGGTGGTGCAAGAAAGACTCAAGATTTGGTGGACATTGGCAGAAGGATACTGAAAAAGTGTGGCGGCGTGCCATTAGCAATCAAAGTGATTGGGGGTTTGTTGTATTCCAAAAAGGATGCCTCGGAATGGTTGAAGCTTGAGAAGAGTGAAATATGGAACGAGTCAACCAACACTGAAGGTGGAGTCATGTCTGTCCTGAAGCTGAGTTACGAGAACTTACCTTCATTGTCAGTGAAACAATGCTTTGCAAGTTGTTCCATTTTCCCGAAGGACACTGGCATGGAAAAAAAAAGCTTGATACAGATTTGGATGGCCCAGGGATTGATTAATGATGCCAAGGGGAGGAGGTCATTTGCAAATGGAGGATGTAGGCAGCGACTGCTTCAACGTATTGCTTCGGAGTTCTTTGTTGCAAGCTATTCCTGAGTATTCTAGTAAAGAAATCAACTACTGCCGGATGCACGACCTTGTGCATGATCTTTCACTGCGAGTGTCAAATAATTGTTTCTTAAATACAGAGAATGGCATGGTGGTCAGTCATAATGATGAAGTTGTGCATTTGACCGTTGTTCTGAGTCGAGGAAAGATGTTAAAGAATATCGAAGGGATTCCTCCAAATTTGCAAACGCTTTATTATATTGGGGATGATGGTATTATGCTCGAAGACATCTTGGAAAGGTCTAAATACCTTTCTGTATTAAAAGTAGACTGCTGGGATGTTACTCATCTCCCCAATGCAGTGGGTAATATGAAACATTTAAGACATCTTGATATGAGTCAAACTCGAATCGCCGCTCTGCCAGATTCGATCACAAAGCTCTACAATTTGATGACTTTGAAAGTAAGTCGCTTGAAAGAGATACCTAAGAAGTTTAGCAATTTAATTAACTTGAGGCATCTCGAGTTTTCCACGATTTTTTCGGGTCGGCCCTCATATTTGATCCCTGGGATTGGGCAGCTGGCTAATCTTCGGACGTTGCCCTACTTCGTGGTAAGCCAAGACAAGGGATGTCAGCTTGAGGAGCTGGAACACTTGCGCAACCTCCGAGGCGAGCTAAAAATTTTTGGACTTGAGAATGTGAGCAGCTTTGAATCGGCAGCAAAAGCAAAGTTGTCCGAAAAATCAAGCATTCAAAGTTTAACACTTTCATGGGATGACACAAATGAAGATTGCGACGACAACAATATCAACAGTGTCATGGAAGGTCTCCAACCTCACCCAGACTTGAAAAGTTTAGCCATTAATGGTTTCAAAGGTTCAAGGTTTCCGTCATGGATGGTGGCAAAGGATCACTTGATGGTACTCCTAAGGAATCTGGTACACCTCAGGTTGGAGAAATTGGGTAAGTGTGAACAAGTACCATCACTAGGGGACTTGCCTTGTCTCGAGTCCTTAGACATGGTCTCCTTACACAATGTGAAGCGCATTGGGGCAGAATTCTATGGTCTCCTTACACATCTCGATATTAATGCAAGGAGCAGCGCTTCTTGTAGTAGCAGCACCAGTAGCAGAGAGGTGAAACCAGTCACTCTGTTTCCAAAACTAAGGCGTTTTGGGCTGCGGAACATGAAAAGGCTAGAGGAGTGGTCAGATGCAATGGTTCCCTCGGATTCTTCTTCATCAATTAAGGTATTCCCTAGTCTCCGGTACTTGGAAATCGAAGGGCTCCCCAAGTTGGCTTTTTTACCAGATATGGAGAACTTGACATCTCTTGAGGTGTTACGGATAGAGAGATGCGGAAGTTTTGCTTGTATAAGGAATTTGAATAGCCTTATATCTCTCGAATTCTTATATTTAGATGACTGCCCTGCTTTATTAGGTGCTTCTCTGGATATGAAAAACCCCCAATCCCTACGTGCTCTACGCATCTCAGGATGTGATAAGTTGAATCCTTCATTGAGTAATAATCTTGAGAAGTTCACATCGCTCGAGCGGTTGAAGATCGTTTCTAATGACCCTGGTTCTTGGCCAATTATGGTTCTACACCATCTAGCCAACCTCAGATCGTTGGAACTCGGTGGCTTCTCTGACATTCTTGACCTTGATCATTTCCCGTGGCCACACTCCATCACCAATCTCGTCTCTCTGGAGTTTCTTCGGTTGCGTGGATGGCCAAAAATCACGTCTCTCCCAGACCAAATTCAGCATCTCTCTACCTTGAGGACGTTAGAGATACGGGACTTTGAGGGGTTGGAAGTTCTTCCAGAGTGGATGGGTAGCCTTCGGAATCTTCGAGAATTGTTGATTGGTAATTGCTCTAACCTCAGACAATTGCCCTCTGCAGAAGCAATGCGACACCTCACCAATTTAAATTATCTATCTATCACCAGGTGTCCTCTTTTAGCAGAGAGATGCACCAAAGGAAGTGGCGCAGAGTGGCCCAAGATTGCACATATTCCCGATGCTTATATCTATCCGTTGAACAATGTTTGACTCGTTAACTGGTAAGTTGTAAGTTAATATTTCCAATGTTCTATTTTTATTCGGTTTGTTTATAATTCTATTAGTACTTAAAAATGCCTCTATATTACAGCCAAATCCTGACTCGTCCTTCAATTGCTCTTTTACGTTTGTTGCAGCTTCATTGCTCCAACAAATCCATATACGGTGTCAAATTGCCACATCAAAACAAATCCTTTTATGCACAGAGCCAAATTGACATTAAATTGCCCAATCACATAAAGCCTCTGGTTTTACCACCAAGAAAAGATTATATATGAGATTTGAGGGGAAGATGGAAATATGATGAAAATGAAGAAAGAAAGGAGGATGAAGAGTAACAGTGGGAAGGTCAAATTGCTGCTATTCTTTTCGTCTCCTTGTAGTTTTGTAATGTGTTTTTTTTTTTTTTTAAATTTGGTCGGTAATCGCCATTACCCAAAAAGTTTTGGGTCTTTGATAGTGATTGTTTCATACCCTTAGAAGCACCATCTATGGGTACGAGACACTTTTTAAAATTTTAATAGCCATTGAAGAGAGCGGGGAGGGGGTAAACCCTCCAACCAAACGCCTGGTAAGAGTTTTGACCTGCACCTTTATGAACGACTCGTAAATTAATTTAGCTGCGGTCACTTAGCTTGATTTTGTTCTACTATTTTTCCTTTTTCCTGATTCAGCAAATGACTGCCTTTTTCTTGAGCAGCAAATGGTGCCTGTTATGCTGCAGGGACTAGGACCAAAGTATTTCCACGAGGACAGACACCTGAGTTACAGTTTTACAGTGTCATATGCAAGCAGACAACTGTGTGTGTTGGAAATTGGAATGGGAATCAGCATGCGTCCAATGATGAGTCCACATGCGGGAATCGACAATGGTGCAGCAGTGAGGAAAAGAGTTGCAAAGCGGTGAGCTGAGACCACATTCTAATGTTTGGGGGATTTTGATGAATCCTGTTCTATGTTGAACAGCAGCATATAAAGGGATTGTTTGTTGACTCAGTACCTCGCAGTGTGTATCTTTCTTTATTGCTGTTTACATGTTTCTCAATGTCCCAACTCTATTGTAAGGTGAAACTATATAATGTATTCAATGGGATTTCTGGATAGGATAGATTCTATCTAATAGCAAACCAATAATAGCCTTCACTACTTGTATATATATATATATATATATATTTCCAAAGTTCGATTTAATCAATAGCTGTGGGATTTTCAGGGGAATATAGACTAACTAATAAATTAAAATCAGCTAATTTCATTTTCACTTGCACAAATCTGGTGATTAGGTTTTGTGAAAACCAATAACAGTTGGACCAAACTGGAATAAGTTAAAAGAGCGTCTTACAAACAATAAAATTTGCGCCGCAACATGAAAATTTGATACTATAATTTAAAGGTGGAATATACAATTTACCCCATTTGTTGGACTTCTCTCTCATTTGACACAAAGTTGTGGAGTATAGACAGGCACTCAATAAAGAAGATTTGGAAAACGTAATGCATAGGTGTCAGTATATAATTGGTCAAGAATATTTTGCTGATTAGATTTCCACCTTAGGAAAATTAACGTTTCTTCAAAGGTTTGTTGTTCCTTGCCAATTGCCTCTTCTTCTCCTTAATACGGACGATATCTCTGAGAAGAAGCACTTCTTCAGTGATGGCCTTTTGCGCTCAATCAAAGCTCAGCAATCTGAATTTATGGATCAAAACATCCGTAGGAAGCAGCGGTACTGATAATGTAGGAGGCCATCATGACTCACTTAGAAGAAGAGCACCAAAAAGCCGTGCCAAAAGTAGGATGATGGTTAAAATGACAGCATCAACTAGCGGAGGCAGTGGCCAAGGGTCATCGACGGTGGCATTTGAGGAGGGACAGCTGGAAAGGCCGCGGTGGACCGGTGAAACTCCGCTTTCTCGCCTTGTTGGAGCTCTCATTTCCTTCAAACCTCTCTTCTCTATAATGAAATTTGGCGCAAGACAAGTACTCATAAGGTACTGTATTCTACATCAGAAATGCGGCTTCATTTTTTATTTTGGTGATTTTTCCTGCTGAAATTCTTGAGTGTAAAAAAGGTTGTCGGTTTTCTTTGGGAATATTTTGGTGGGATTTTGAAACAGTACAGCTGAGAAGACAAATATTCCATGGAGGGAAATGACTAGACAGATACTGGAATCAGATGTATACAGAGAAATGGACAGTATTGAGGATCCCTCTCTTGTTTACCCTGATTGTAAGTTCTCTATTATTGTGGTACTGGTGAAGACTGGATTAAATTCTTGTCTCCAATAATCGTTCATTGGACTAGCAGCAGCTGTGTGGTTAGAAAGTTTGTACCTGAATTTGTAGTCTGTCATTTAATTAAGAGATTATGTTTCAACAGCAACAATGATAACTTCAATATAACATTGATGTTGATAATTCTACAATAAAAGAAGCTTGTTACAACTCTGTATTCCAGAATTTAAGTTGCTTAAGTTTCTTCTTTTTTCTTTCCTCACACCCTACTAAAAGATTAGGGAAGTGACCTTGAATCTAGAGCTCAGAACAAAAAACCGGCATTTCCTATGTGTACTAATTTGGGTACTGATTTTGTTTCATACTTGCGGTTCCTATGCAGATTATCTCAATCCCTTCCATGCATATGATGAGGGCAATCTTTCCTGGCTGGTAATGTGCATAATGGTTGATTTAATGTACTCGAATTTATTACAAGAATATGTATCATTGATTTTATGTTACCAGTTGCTTCAGTAGTAGTAATGCAGAAGCAATGAGTACAGTACTCACTAGTTTCGAGGCATTCCATAATGAGATTCTTCAACAGGCTGCTGCTGAGGCAGAGGCTGCAACTATGTCGATGATGAGACGGGCAATACCATATGCTTCTTCATTGGATGAAGCTAATCAAGTAGTTCGTGGAAATTGGCTGAATGCAATTGAAGAACATCATCAGAAATATTCAGAAGACAATATTGTCAGACAAATTCTTGATATCGGATGTTCAGTTGGTGTCAGCACAAGATGCCTTGCTGATAAATTTCCCAATGCTAGAGTGACTGTAAGTATTCTAGCTAGTTTCTCCACTCCCCAAGTGAAATGATCTAATATGCAATAGTAACCTACAAAATCAATGCAGCATCTACTTAAGTAACCTCTTCATGGTACCTATTTTATTTACCGAGTCTGTTACAAGAAATAAAGGTTGAAAAGTAGAGCACGTCTCAAAATAAAGAGATCTAGCTAAAAGATTTTGTAATTGGGCTTCAAACAGTACTTCAGGTAAAGTAAATCTACTCTCCGGTACACTTTCCAGTGCTCTAAAATCTTATTGCTGCATTTTCTGCAGGGCCTGGATCTGTCACCATATTTTCTTGCTGTTGCTCAATATAAAGAAAAGAAAAGCAACCCAAGAATGAATCCTATCTGTTGGGTCCATGCTAATGGTGAAAGTACAGGCTTACCTTCCAAATCATTTGACATTCTTTCTATTGCTTATGTGGTATGTCAAAAATTCCTGACAGAATGCAAGCATGTCATACATTTTCTGTTGGAATGAGTACTAAATCATCATCAGAGAGTCATGTTGTTCTTCCTAAAACTGAACATTTTAGGAGAAAACTCTTTTATAACATGTTGTGGCTCTTTCTACTTTTAGAAGTTTGGGCTGTAATCCGCCCACCTTACAATGTCATGGATAAAGTACCAAATGAAGAATAGCATCTTCACTTGCTCAATTTTCACGCAAGAAGCATGTTGCATGAAAATTGACAAAACATTCTTTGGTGTATAAGCCTCCACAAGTTTTGCCTAGGCAGCTGCTGTAGTACTCTTGCCCATGGTTGCACCTTTAGAATTTTAAGTGCGTGCCATGCTCTTTTTTCCGGTAACTCTTTGAAATAATAATGCTATGATTCAGAGTCTCAATCATTTGAGCTGTTACAGTTCCATGAATGCCCTGAAAGAGCGATAAAAAATATGGTGAGAGAAGCCCTTCGACTGCTTCGACCTGGAGGAACTTTTGCAATCACAGACAACTCGGTAAATAATATAACTCCTGAGGTTTTGAATTGTATATTTACCAAAGGATCATTTCAATCTGATAAACACTTGTTTCCTTTTTGCAGCCAAAATCAAAGATTCTTCAGGCAAGTTCTCTTCTCCTATTCCTTTTCTCTGCCTACAGTTTGTGCGATTGAGCAAACTAATAGCACTACATGTTCAAAATTTCTGCACATGTTGAAATAGGAGACAACATTGTAATATATGCAATACAGATATATAATACAGAGCAACATCTTAGATTCATATAACTTTGACCATGAAAGCGTTAGTTCATAGGTGTTTCTGTTCCCTACCATCTCCTGCTCTGCAAAAATTCTCAAGATGACTGGTATAATGTGGTTTTCCTAGCCACGCTGCTGAACTAGATTGTCCTTATACATGTCTCAGGAATTATCACCGGTGCTATTTACGCTAATGAAGAGTACTGAACCATTCCTGGATGAGTATTATTTGACAGATCTTGAAAGAGTAATGAGAGAAGCAGGCTTTATCAATGTAAATACGGTTCTCACGGATCCAAGGCACAGGACAGTGACTGCAACTGTGCCTTACTAGCATCACCCTCAAACCGTCTCATCATTAGCGTTACCAATTGGAGTTCGTATCTACAGAGTTCATGTACTAAATGTTCGCGTTGAGGAATCATTTTTTGGCAGCATACTAAGTCAGCATCTCAGCTGTGCTCCTAAGGAAATTTATCTGTAAATCCATAGGCTATATAGGAATTTGAACTTTTGAAATCGTGTCAGAAGGAAATGGATCCATTTCTTGTTACAAACAAGCACGAAAAGTCACCAAAATCACTGTCTTGGTTGAGTTGTGCTGAAAAGAGTTAGCATGGAGCAACTGTTGCTCCAATGCAGCCTCTGGTCTGTGAACTACACCCTTATGCTCTTCATTGCAAGTTGATAGCAGGAACCTCTAAGGTGATTTTTGTACATTTTTACTCATCGACCGATTATACTTAGCTGCTAATGTTTTCCCGAACTTCTTCAGCTCTGAAGAAGCAGCAAATTCTCAACTGATCATACTGCCAATAGTTATTAAAAGCAAAAAGACTGCTAAGCAAAAGCTAGGCCCTGTATTTCTATTCAATCTGAAACTATATACCAAAGTCCAAACTATACACCACATATGTTGATAGCAGGAACCTCTAATACCATTTTTGTGTTCGACAATTTTCATCTTGATCTACTAAATCATAACATATAGTAGTAGTAAGTTGTTTTCTAGGTGAACAAATGGCTAATGTTATTGCAAAAGAGATGGCAAATATCCGGATATTCTCTACCAACTTTGGAATAATACCTTGACTTTCTTGTAAGTTATAAGAGTGGACGAGACTTCCGGGTTTCGACCTCAATTTTCTTCATGTACACACCCTCAAACTTCTTTCTATTTTGATGACCATGCATGTATGATAGGAAATTTTCAACTTTTTTTTTTTAGTAAAAAAAATTCATTATCTATTTTAATTCCTATCCAAATTATTCATACATAAATCTGATTTCTTTTCTTTTCTTTTTTCTTTCCCTGTATCTAATCTCACCTAAATTCAGATAATCATAAGGACTTTGCTGGATCTCCTTTGCTTATAAATCAAGCAAACCACCATACCAACTCATGATCAACAACTGGTTGACTTCCATAGTCAAAGAATCAGACGGCCGAAAGCCTACAGAATGCTTCAAACCTACGGTCCACAATAATCACAATCAAATCGAAGTAAACTAGTCTATCAGAATTGGATAGTCCCATCAACTCCGGTATCCTATTTTGTAATAAAATTTTTAATATTAGTCACCAACCTTCTTGTTTTCCAAATTCCCAGCCTACCCCTAAAATTCTTTTTCCCCAGACACATTTTGCCAATTCCAGATTGGAAGCGAAACAGTCAAGAACTTCAGCGCAGTTAAATTACAGGGGGGGAAAGAAAACAACGCGCTTTTTGCTTGCATTAATTTCTCATTCCCGTGAGAAATTCCTTTTCGAATAGCAATCACATCAATGGAGAAAGAAAAGAAAACAGATGAAAAAGAAGAAATTGAAGAAGCTATTGAGCTGATTCTCTTCCAAGTCTCAG